AACGCATTCAAGTTTTTGAAAATTGGATAGAATATTAAAACAATCTTCAGAATTATAATCAAGTTTAAAAATTCTCCAAGATCATACCCATCGTCAAACATAACAAATGTAAATTAGAACATCCAGATGGTTACGTAGTATTCATATAGAATCACAACGTACCTAAAAGGTCTCACCCTCAAGCGGTATATGCCACAGCTGACTTAAGCCTCTTGTGTTAGAAGTGAATTATAAATTGATATTGAAATTACATCACCCATGTCTAATATTTAGGAAGACGTGAATTCTATGGAGGCATGAGAGCAACGGTGAATTATAGGATAAAAGGTTTTGTTAAATATAGAGAAAAATTATAAAAGTAGCACATCATTATAAATATTGAAGGATAGACAATAATTCATGGCATCACTAATGGCGGGGAAACAGATTATTAACTTGAAAAGAGTGATGTCAATCAAATCCAGCCTACCTATCTTGAATCAAGGTTGCAAAATCTCTTTGACCATTTCCAAAGACCATTCATAGGTTGGGTAATAAGCTTGCCTCTCTTCTATTAAGGAGTCTTAGCGATATCATCATTTAACAAAAAATGGGGTGCAAATACTCCAAGACATTGAGGCAATTGTTAGCACAATGTTAGGGTTGTCATCGCGAGGTGGCCAAGTTTTGTTGGGGAATGAGACACAACATGCTCTTAAACTCATTTCAATGTTGCTTGGAACATGCGCACAAGATGTTCTTCTACTTGTCTAAGATGGCTGAGGTTAATGAAATGGTCAACATGCTCCCCTAAAGAGAGTGATTTTGATCATCTACAAGTCCTAATTCATATATATGTTCATTACATCTGAAAGAACGTTGGATAAAATTTGTCGAAAGGAGCTTGAACATGCCTTGCTCAAGGCCTAAGCATCTGCGGTGCTTGGTTGGACAAATTTATAAAATATTGGGATGACATCAATCAAAACTTGTCTTAATAAGATTCCCTCAGCATAATATTAAGAATCTCCTTAGCAAGGCCGTGCAGAGAGTAGAAGAGCAATTCTCATAAAAGAGCATAAGGAATAGATCATATAAAAGAGGTCCTCAAAGATCAATCTTATCAGACCCTAAAACCTCTTATTCAAAAGGATGCATCTAAGCTATAAGAGAAAGTAATATTGATTTATAATGTGAATCATTGATTATAGTATCTCATAGTTGTATAAATATTATTAACATTTTTGGAAAAAGTTACCAAAAAGAAGAAAAAAATAAATCAATGATTGTTGAAAACTCAATAAAAAAATTAGCCAGTACAAAATTTTCCCTTAATCTAACTTACTATGGCAACTTGGTGAGATCAAGAGAAATTCCTACGCAAGACTTGATTTTTCTGAAAATTCTGAATCTTCAAGACCCAAAAATTTTAGTTACCACCCCTTTCTACAAAAGAACATTCATAATATCATTGGACAGCCTATTCTTCTCAATCTTCAGCTTTAGCTCATCCCTTGCAATCGCCATAAATTGCACATCAAGATGCTTAGCTTGGACCGAATCCACCTTCTTCAAAGCCAGCTGCAAAACATTCAAGTCCATGTTTTTCGATAACCAGAAATCTTCCAACGCGTGCTGTAAATATTTATAAGGAGTGTCAGCTTCATCTTTGTCCAGCAAACTGACACCTGCTTCAACCAGTTCATCTTCCTCATCATTTCCCAACTCCATGCTCTCCTCTGCCTCCAAATGAATACTCTCGTCCTCCTCAGTCTCACATTCCTCAGCAACCTTTCGTTTCTTCTTCAGTCCATCAGATTTCCTATTACGCTTCACAAAGCCGCCGGCATTCTCTCGACCGGGGAGAACCCCAAGCCCTCAATCCTAGTTCATAGAAACTCCTATCAGCGCTGTCAGGTCCAGGGCTACGTTCCTTCCGGAAACTCTCCCGAAGACGCGAGAGCTTTTCAAGCAGCTGCTTCTCCGACAGATCCTTTGGAACGAAATCCTTCACCTCCGTCAAAAAGTAAGCTATGCACATTTTCATTGTCGGCACAATCCCGTTCCTCGATCGAAACGCGGCGACCGCTTCGAGCAACTTCGGGATGTCGTATCCCCGCTGATGCGAAGAGGCGGTTTCCGAAACGGTTTCCGCCGCAGCTGAATGTGGAGACAGAAGAGTTTGGGAAGATTCCGACGAAGTTGAGAGCGATGAGGTTACCCTAGCTCTTTTGGGAGGGTGATTCGGGGTAAGTTGATCGGGTGATGAGAAGCTGGAACATGGCGTTAGAGCCGAGGGGATAGACTCATTGGGGCGCATCGGGGGAGAAGGCGAGGTCAGTTTTTGATGCCTGTGGATCCCGGGAGCCGATTAGGAAAGCGAAACTAGGGTTTCGAAGCGGAAGAAGCCATCGGAAGATGGCTTGGGGGAAGTTTCGATTCTGTAAAATTTAACAAATTTTGAATATTTACTACTGATTTCATACAGTGAGCAAATATTAATTTTTAAAAATTTTATTAAACTGTCCTCATTAATATTTATATTTACTAAAATATTATCATTTATACTTTAGTAGCATCTATTAAGTTTAAATTTTTAAAAAGAGCATTTAGTAATGATAAGTAAGCGAAAAAATCTTAATTAATTAAAATTTAAAAAATGGAGTTTAAACGCAACGTAGAGTCTTTTTGGGACGCACATGCAGCATTTTGAAAACGTCACTGTGTCGTTTGGTTCGTGCATTCAGGAAGCTCATTAAGAAATAATGTTTTTGATTCCTTAATAGACGTAGGGCTGTCAAAACGGCTCGTTCTTTGCGAGTATTTTTAAATAAATTAATTGACTACAAGGCTGCAAAGATTTATAATCAATTAAAAATATTAATGAAGAAAATATAGTAAAAATTATTAAATTAGATTCAAATGATGTTTTAAATCTTGTCTCAATCTTTAACATCTTATGGCTACGTTATTAGTGTTGTCAAAATGACTTTTTGTTCATGAACGACTAGTGTTCCGCTCGTTAAGCAAACGAGCCGAACACGAACACACTTTCTGAGCTCGAAATATAAACAACGGCTCGTTTACACCCCTAAATAGACGTCGTGTCTCAATAGGTTATTCCTCCTGCACCCTTCGAAGTTGTCCGTCTCCTCCCTCTCTCAATCTCTCTCGCCTACCTCAGTTCCTCCTCTCCAGGTTTCACCCGAAGTCATCGCCTACCTTCCCCTTCATCCTCCTTTCGAGTCAGAGACACTAGCGGGGCAGCCGCACGAGTCAGAGACACTAGCGGTGCAGCCGCAACTGGAGCTAGCTAAGAAGGCATCTACATGATCGTAGCTTACAACAATCTCAAAACTCCCTTATATCTTCCCTTTTCACTCAACTCCTACCCGACCAACCTTCATCTCCATCCCTTCCTCCCACCCATTTCGCACACTGCAACAAACGTCAAGGGAATTTCGACAATGTAGAATCAATTCTTCTTGCACTTAAGGAACATTGTTAAATCTCCATCACACCTGTTATGTGCCAAAGAAGAAATAGGTGCCAATTTTTCTTTTTAAATTTACACAACATATCCTGTTTGGTGTTTTCATTGATTATAAATTGCAAGCATAACTTATAATGGTATTCTTCAGGTAATCCTATTTATTCAGGAAGTTCATATTTCCACGATGGTGATGCAAAGTTACAATGTCTTTATTGCAATATCTCTAAATATTTTCTTATTTTAGGGAGCTTGAAGTACTATATAACCAAAATTCTATAAGTCATGCACCATTCATAAGTATTAAAGTTGAATAGTACATGCATGCCAGCCAATTCATATGTATTTACATATATAAAAACTAAATTTTACTTTTTAAATTTATATAATATAAAAATAAAAAAAAAGTTAAATAGGTCCTTGCATGCATAGCTGAGGTGGCATCTATGTTAGAAATTAAAGTGTAGGTATTAGATATATAAATTTATAAGAGTTGAGTGGCATGCATATAAATTTTCCGTAAATATAAAGATTTAGATATATAAAATATAAATGTGAAGCTACCATATGACATGTATATGATTTCTTCTATACTCTAATTCAATTACTTCAAACTTTGTTCTAAATACAATAAATTGTTAAAATTAGGAATTAAGATTAGAGCGTATTTAAGACTATTAAATTTAATTAAATAATAAACAAATATTATGGTAATGAAATAATTTATTTATGTTATTTAGAGCTTCTCACTTTTTATACATTTGCTGTTGTAATATTTGAAATGCAATAAAAAAAAAACAATTTACTGAGTAGACATTAAAACACATTGGCATGCACATTTATATGCCAAATGCAAGTCTCTATGTCTAAGGTCCGTTTGGGGCAGCTTATTTGGTGCGGTGGCGTTTTGAAAACACAACTGCCCTATTTGGGTAAACCCCGTTTTGGCAGCTTATGCATTTTCAAAACGCTGAAACAACATTTTCACGCCGTTTGGGGCAGCTTATTTGGTGCGGTGGCGTTTTGAAAACACAACTGCCCTATTTGGGTAAACCCCGTTTTGGCAGCTTATGCATTTTCAAAACGCTGAAACAACATTTTCACGCCGCACCTATCTAAGTGTGGTGGGAGCTTTCTGGCTGAGGTCTGACTTTTCCAAAAAAATAAAAAATTTGTAATAGCCACCGCACGTCGTTTATCAGCATATTATTTTTAATCAGTTTATCACCAAATTATTCAATAAGCTACAGCTGCCCCAAACAGTCATTAGTTTATCAATAATTAATTTCCTCTAAAATGCGCAGCATTGACACGTGTCAACAGTGCCTGAATGTTTAGCACATTAGTTGAAAATAATGCGAAAAATTTCAAAATGTCGGGTTTGAAGGTTCACCCTACTCGAAACCATCTCAGCAAGAATAATTAATTTATTAGACTATAAGTTCATCACCTTAGTCATATATACATAATCATTTCAGTATTTTTCAACATGATTAAATTATAATAAAGCGATAGAAATAGAAAAAGAAGAAAAAAAGTGAGGTTAAGAAAGCTAATTCCTACACAAAGAAGGCTTAATTGCACGACTAATTACATCATTTGAGCTTTTACATCATTTGAGCTTTTAATCACTAACACAAGAACAACAGTAAGTTCAATAATACCATCAATCTTCATTATCGTAGTCCTCGTCCTCATCAATATGGATGTTTACATTTACAAGATTTGATGGCCAAGTAGAGTACTCACCTTGCCGTGCCTCGGTGCTCAAAATCATGTCTGATTTTGGTGGGAGGGAAGGATTTGTGCTATCATTGACATTTTCCATTGCCTTCTCTGCTGTGTCTGATTCAGTAATATGATCTTCATGTTCAGGTGATAAGTCAACTTCTTCCTCGTATTTCGTAAAAGATAATTCTCTCTCGCGGTTCCTGTTCAACGGTGGCCGTCCTCGACCACGTCCTCTGCCTCTCCCACGCCCTCTAGGAGTAATATTTGTGCTTGTCATTGCCTGCCGTTAACATTTTTGTCAGGTTAGCAGTGACAATGATGGCTTCCAAGTAATATTCAGCATATTTAATATGTTTCAACGCAAGAAATTTTGCAACATTATGGTAAACAAGTAAAATAGTTTGGAAGATTTACATACAGAAGGCTCAATTCCTATGTATTTACATATCTTCTAACACCTAAACTTTAATTTTTACATACATACCTCAAACTTTAATTTTTACATACATACATTTTTACATACATACCTCCTTACCTATGCATCGGTAGTAAGGAAGTTACAGACAGTATTTGAAGCTATGGTTAACAGATTTTCAGCCTTTATCATATCAGAAACTGGTTGAGACTATCCACTAAAATCACAGGCAGAGAAACAGCCGGATTAAAGGATAAGTGGAGAAGAATTTTTTATGTTTTTCATCTTATGAATTAACAAAAATTCAAAAGATGGTCGGGTGAATTATTTTAATAGAAAATTTCTCGCTAATTTTTAGCCAACTTTACTTCTTTTCTTCATGGATAGGCGCAGCTTCAAAATCTGAAGTTCAAAAGTGTACCCAACCATGTAAATACGTCCAGGAAGGCTAGGAATGCTTAAAACGGAGAAAAAACAAAGGAGAGAGATACGTTGTTCATTGCTTTTAAGAGATGGACATCGACATTTCAAGCATGATGGAACAGAACAAGAAGGCCAAAATATGAATCAGCTAGCTTCGGTTCTTGTGCTGTGTTATGTCACAATGTATATGTTGTGATGTTATACTGGTTTTTAATTTATTTATTTATTTCCATACAAAAGTTCTAAGTGTCATGATAATATGTAAATTGGCTCATGTTTTGTAAGGTTCTAAATGAAAACTTTTGTTCCTCTTATTATTATTTGTTGAGATTTGTAGCTAATGTAGAGATCTATTTGTAAATAGGAGAAGTCTAGAAATTTATTTGCAAATATTGTAAGGCTCTATATAAAAGCCTGCAAGTTTTTAGAGCAATTATCGCTGCTCGAGCAGGGAGGCCATAGCAGGGAGAGCGGACGACGAGAAAGATGGGAGCTTCGCGGTCCTTCTACGTTCAAATCCCATCACTGCTTCCCTAGCTGCTCCACCTCTACTTACCACTGTAATTCCGTCGTTACCGGTGTGAGCAGGGAGGCCGAGCAGCTTCTTCTGAAAATCCCATGCACTGTGCGATTCCGTCGATGCTTTTCCCGAGCGCAGAAGAAGCGGAAGAGGAGAGTTACAGAGGTCTTTGAGCATTCCATGCATCACAGGAGCTCCCGCAGTTTGCAGCTTCAAAAGATAGAAAATTGGAGATCCCGTCATTGCTTTCCAGCGAGCCCTAATCGCGATAACTGGAATCTTCAAAGGTCTTCATACACGAAGATTCTGTCGTTTGCTGCGAAGTAGAGGGGAATTGCAAACTCCTGCGTGCGTAGGAACAGGGAGAGCCGAGTTGGGTTGCAATCGTTAAATGGGAGAGTTTCAGCTTCTCTATGTCGCGCGAGGGACGAAACAGGGGGCTTAGCATAGAACAAAAACTGGGGAGAGCTCCGGATTGGGCATGCAAAGCAAAGAAGAGTTAAATTGAATTTGATTTTGATGATGAGATAGCTCAAGATCATGTTAGGAAAAAGAAGGAAGTCGTGTGTCTAGACTTGGATCCTTGTGATTGAGGATGTCAGCAGACGAAGATAGTGCAGCAGGTAGAGGATTGGAACTTCCGAGGACCATGGATCCTGAAGTTCTGAAGATCTTGGTCAAGCTCATATAGGGAGCTAGTGTCTCAACGGAGGTCACTACCTCAGCACATGTTTCGGGTCACTCGAGTGGACTTCCAAAAATGCGATCAGTTTCGGCTGCCTGAAGCTCAAGTATGAAAGATGCTCAGGGGAAGAACCACAGGTGCTACAACTACGGAGACGTGGGACACCTAAGCAAGAGTTGTCCAATTCTATCCAAGGAGTGAGAGACGGGTGGACGTGAACAGTCTAGATGTCATGGTGACGTGGACAATCTAGATGTCATGGTCGTAATTGTGGGAGCTAAAGGGGTAAAGAGAGGGCTATCGGGTAAGTCTAATGGTAGCGAAGAATGAGACAGAGATGGGGGTGGTCTTTACCAATGGGGATCACGAGTTCTTGGAGATGTTGAAAAGGAAGCAAAGAGCGGCAGGTGATGTGACTGAGGATGTATCTACTTTATTGTCATCCAAGGGGAACGCTCCTACTCATGCTCACTCAGCCAAAGACACTCGTGATAGACATGTTTTTGCCTCCATATCCACCATAAGATTACCAGAATTGAGAGTAAATTCTTGTGCATCTCGGCATATGACATGTGCTGCTACTAATTTAATAGTTCCATAGAGCATTCAGACTATGATGGTACAAAACAGTCTGTGGCTGGTAAAAGTACAGTGGGGTGTACTAATTTTATGACTATGTTCAATGTTTTGCATGTTGCTTACTTCCAGTAAACATTTTATCCATTAGTGTCATTATACTCTAACTGAAATATGTTATTTCATTTGATATTTCTGATGTGATCTTTCAAGAGAATGAGACTGACCGGAGACTTGAAACTGGCACGCAGTATAGTGGACTCTGATACTTGAATAGTGAGGCAATAGATTTAGCCTTAACATTCATGGTAGAGAGTGCTAGAGTAGGAGGATATGAGATAAATGTGCAGGATGTGTTGTTACATCACATGAGCATGAGACACTCTTCGTTCAGTCAATTGAGTCGTTTGTGTCTATCATTGTATGAAAAGTCAAACAAAAAAAACTTGTGTGTGAATATTGTAAGTTTAATAAGCAAATCAGGAGCTCTTATATTAATTTTGGTAAGAGGAGTTCTTGTGTTTTTGATTTCGTTCAGTCAGATGTATGAGGATCTTGTACTACTACTTCGATGAAGGGCTACAGATAATTTATGAATTTCATTGATTGTTTTTCTCGTGTTATCTAGGTATATCTGATGAGAAATATAAGTTGTGTGCTTGTCTGCTTTAAAGAATTTCACAGGACGATTCAGACTCAATATGATGAAACTGTGAAGGTATTGATGTATGATAATGGAACAAAATGTATCGACAAGATGTTTGGTGTGTACTTGTCAACCTAAGAGATGCAACATCAAACCACTTGTACATACACACCAACACAAAATAAAGTAGCAAAGAGGAATAATAAACACCTTTTAGAGCTAGCCCAAAGTATGATGATCTTCATGAATATCCCAAAGCACTTGTGGGGGCAAGTTATTCTGACAACCGCTCAATTGATCAACATAATGCCCTCAAGCGTATTTGATTGACAATCTACTTATGAATTGTTGAAAGGAGATAAAGGAGGGATGCTTATATTAAAGTTATTTGGTTGTGTATGTTATGTTTTATGAAGGATAATAGACCATCATTAGAGAGGTTGAACCCAGAGCTGTGAAACATATTTTCGTGAGTTATTCTACCACGGAGAAGGGGTATATTTGTTGGAGCCCAACAGAGAATAAAATGTTTGTGAGTATGGATGTGACTTTTACAAAATTCGAACCATACTACACCTTGGCAGTGACCTCAACCTTTAGTGAATTACCATATGTTGGAGGTATGAAGCGAGAGGGGAAGAGAAGTGATGGTGCGAGATTAGCATATGTGGGAACGATGTTTTGTCCCATTGTGTGGGAATGATCAGCTAAGAAAGGCCCAAAAAAAGAGGAAAATGAGTTAGAAGGTGGTGGTATTCAAGCTCAAGGAGAGCAAAGTGTATACAAGGAGCAGAAGATAGAATGAGAGAATAGTGCCCACCGTGTCACTCATGTCATCAAGTCTCTTGCCCCGTTCTATCCCGACTCCTAAGACACCAAAACTATCCACCTCACAATCAGATTAAACGAGTGATATGATTTTTCTTCTCCTCCCACTCCATGACTTTAAGAAGAACCTCTCGCAGCAATGGAGTTCATTATCCTGATTGTTATTCTTCTGATCTTTTTAGTTTCTCACATGAAATTGTTCAATTTGTCTCATACTCTAACATATCACCTACATACAAAGCATTCATTACATCTTTGTACATTGTTTCTATATCTCACCACCTTCTGGCAGGTAGCTAAGGAGGATTCAAAGTAGAAGGCTGTGATGTTGGAGAAACCTGGCGCTCTCGAGAAGAACGGGACATGGGAACTCGTGTTACTACCAATAAGGAAAAAGATAATCGGTTGCAAATGAATCTTCACCGTGAAACATACCTCAAAAGGAAAAATTGATCGCTAGAAAGCGTGGTTGGTGATGAAAGGGTGTAGTTAGATGTATGGTATTGATTATGATGAAACATCTGCACCAGTGGAGAAGATGAGCACAATCAGGACAGGTTATACTAGTTGGATGTGAAGAATGTCTTTCTTCATGAGGATCTGTTAGAGGAGGTGTACATGGAGATTCTCTCAGGCTTCGGTACAAACCAAATAAAGGGCAAGATATATAGACTAAGGCACTCCATATACGGGTTGAAACAGTCTCCTCAAGTTTGGTTTGACAGGTTCAGGAGAGCAATGGTAGGCATGAACTATCAGCAGATCAATGTCGACCACATAGTGTTCTTTCAACGACATGGTGATCAAATTACTAGCTTGCCGTGTATGTGGATGATATGATAGTCACTGATGATGATGAGAGAGATTGTGCAGCTAAAGACAAAATTGGGCAAAAAATTTGAGATGGACCTGGGACAACTTAGACACTTACTTGTGATTGAGGCGGCTCGTGGAGCAGAGGGAATTGTTTTATCTCAGAGGAAGTATGTGCTAGACTTGCTCACAAAGACAGGCATGTTGGTATGCAAGCCTGCAATGTCACCAATTGATCAGAAGGAAAAGTTGAGTGCAGAGGCAAGAGCCCGTTGATGACGAGAGATACCGAAGGTTGGTACATCGTCTCATCTATTCGAGTGACACCCGTCTAGAAATATCATTTGCGTTACGCATGATTAGTCGCTACATGCATGATCCGAGGAAGGGCCACATGAATGCAATGTATCAGATTTTGAGATACCTGAAGCGTGCACCAGAGAAGAGGTTGATCTTCATGAAGAATGGACATGTAAGCATTGAGGGCTATTGTGACTCTAATTGGGCGAGTTGTACTGAGTAAAGGGTCATGGCCTTAGGAGTTACGGAGATGATGTGAAGAGCCTTGTTGGTAGAGCTCAAGGTGGATCAAGGAGCTTAAATGAAGTTATGGTGCGACAACAGTCAGCGATCAACATCAACAGCAACCTAGTGCAACATAATAGAACAAAACATGCGGAGATTGATAGATCCTTCATCAAGGAAAAGCTAAATAATGGACTACTGGAGCTAAGTCATGTAGCCACTGAAGAGCAAGTGGCTGACTGCCTCACCAAAGGACTTAACTCATTAGATTTGTCTAGATTATGTAACATAGACTATGTAACAAGATGGGCTTATTGGATATCTTTTGCCCATCTTGAAGGGGAGTGTTGAGATTTGTATCGAATGTAGAGTCCTATTTATAAATAGGAGAAGTCTAGGGATTTATTTGTAAATGTTGTAAGGCTCTATAAAAGTCTAAGTCATTAATGAAATGGGTAAGTTTTTAGAACAGCTATTTTTATTTTATTATTTTTATTATTATTATTACTAGTAGTATAACATTATAATAAAATTGTATATGAGGAAGTTTATCTAATTATCTCCACAAACAATGCTTTATTCTTCCTGCCTCGATCTTTGTGTTCAGGTGATTTTTATTTATTTATTTTTCATTATTATTAATATTATCTTTATTTGTATATGAATATGATCTTGTTCAGGCTTCTGTTGTTCTCTTCAATAGTTTGATTTCAGAGCCAGCCCAAATCTTTGAAGTAAAAGTTGCTTAGCATAGAATTTTCTACTTGGATATCTTCTCCTTTCTTTCTTCTTTCCTAATCTGTCATTTTTTTATCAATTAGCTCCCTTATCAAACGTATCAAATTTTCATAAAACTCGAGATTCAAAATTTGATAGAGCCCGAGACTTAATCTAGTATAAAATGTGAAATTTGATTTAAAAATTTTTATTAAAAAAAGGGTTAATTTGCAATCTAAATGTTCCAACAGTTGGTCAACTCGCTGACATAATTGCTGAAAGAACTTTGAAATATTTCGTTTAAAAATATCTAAAGCAAACTACAAAAGATCTTTCTCATCCAATTTGAGATGATGGGTTGAAATTGCCTAGAATCAACCAATATGGTTTGCAAAACAAGGAAGGTAATGTGCTGCAACTCCTGTGTAAACAAGAAAATCAATAAGTCACGGATTCATAACTAAACTAGGAAGGAGGAAGGCCACGGATTGCTCCCAAGCTCACAAAATTGAATGACTGCAAGGGATGACGGATTCACATACTAATCAAGGAAAGAAGACCAACAGAGTTGATCCCTAAATGGAAAAATTAGAAGGTAGCAAGGGGCAGATTGCTAGCAGATCAAAACAGCAGTTTTTAAATTTAAACTATTTTGTTTCTCAGAATTGTATAGTTTCGAATTATTTTCTAAACATTCTTAGATATAAGTACCCATTGAATTAATAAATAAATCAAGTATTACGCCACTTTTTTCTAGATAATTACCTATTTAACACATACTTCACAAACGAAAGTACAACTATGTTCCCTTCGTAAAATTGTTAACTGTATAAAAGGTGGCCTAATTACTCTTTAAGGCTTCAATAAATAAATATGTAATATTGCAGCTCCATGTAGCTAATTTATAACTTTATTACTAGACATTTTATTCACAAAATAGCCAATATATTTCTTTCTCAGAGCATTAATATGAATTCAAATGGGAACAATTTACAAATTGTATAGTCTCCTAGATCATTGATCTGGTTTAAACTCATCTTATTAAAGCCAAACATCCCGAAGTTATGTTATAATTTCTGCTAATTTAAACCACCGATTAGGGGAAGTCCACAAATCACATAGCTTCCCAGATCATTTGAACTGGTTCAAGCTAATGTTATATTAGTTAAATAACCAGAAAGTTATGATCATTTTAATCAAAGTTGTCACCATTAAGAAAACTCTTCAGGAACACCAGTTATCTCCATGGTGTTCACAAATGGTGATTATGCAGATGTCCCAGTCAAGTAAGGAAGCAATATGTCAGTATGTCGTATAATAGTTTTACTATTAATGACCTCTATATTAGTCAGATACAATGTGCTAATGCAGAAAATACACTCTTCAGAATATGGACAAAGAGCACACTAGGAAAACAAAATGCGAGCTTTACAATATGAACCAGTAGAAATCTTAAATTTATACAGAGAAACAAAGTTATTGACCCACTTACCACCTTGGCTAACCTTGAATTGTCTGCCGCTGTATCCCCTTCATGTTCAATAGTTTTTCTGCCGGTTGAAAATATTTGATCAGTCGTGGATTCTTAAAAATGTATAGATAATCAATACAGCCACAAGCATATTTATTCAAGTTACCTCCTCCGGGTTATTCCCTTTTCATCACCAAACGATTCCGTGCCACCAAGGGTCGGTACCTTGTTGACAACAGCAGTTAAGAAATCGAATGCACTATACATCTTCACACATTGTTTTCTAAAAACTCAGAAAAAAGCAAAGATCTTAGACTGAATCATATAATATCGCAAAAAAAAAAAAAAAGCAATGATTCAAGCAACAAGTTTTTTCAAAATGAAGTTGATTTGATCAAATGCAAGCTCAAGAAAGGCATTAAAATTTATAATGCAAAATTATTTTCCTGAGCTGGTACGCTGACCCCAAATAAATAAATCTCAATCGACTTCCTTCATGAATACAGTACAAGTTTTGAGACAGCCTCAGTTGCTTTATAATGCACCAAGTTGTTCAATAAAGTGGTCCAGCATATCTTAACATACAAATTAAATTCTATCAAAGAGACATAATTATTCATCATATAAAGTTGCACATTTGGCAGCTTAGCCAAAACAAGCATAATCAGTAGCTCAATCAACTTAGTTCAACATGATTAAAATCTACAATCCAAGTAAGCATTAATATTATGCAGTTCTGTAATCCCTGTTAAAGAAACTTTTCAATAAACACAGCAGTAGCATGCAAGTCTTTGCTTTGTACATACTTTATCTTCTAGAAATATTTTATAACCCAAGAGAAAACAAAAAGGGGAAACTTCACAGAAAAACATTGACCTCAAGCAGCATGTGTAATAGTAATTAGAGCAAAATTAAACTTACAGGTGCAAAGAATTTAAAGTTTTTGCGCCACTTTGGAGAGTTACTTCATAAGTCCTGTTGCACAAGTCTTGAAGAAACAATTCGAGGGCTTTTGCTGCAAGCAGGCCATAAATACAATACAGTGAAAAAATATGCAGCCGGGAACACAAGCTTAAATTTCGAATAAAACTTTCCTTCTCATCAAAATAAATATATGTGCATGCTCACTGTTCAACAGCATCATAGCCTAGTTAAGATGGCATGCGATTACTTCATTATTAGCAATGGTAAAGTATGACAGGCCTTGGATTAGATTCTTCTAAATATCAAGCGAGCATATTGGTGGCTCTAACAAACGATTAGATGATCTATAACTACATGAAGTCATTATCTCACTAGTTGTAATGGTATTGAAGATGATGTATGATAAAGTTCTGACATCAAAATATAATTTTAAGATTTTCATGGGAAGAGAGAAGTATATCATATATGTATTTAAATAAATTAAATCTCAAGATAATCTTCAAATTATTCATGTAATCTCCAATTTAGTCAATTGACTGTTAAATATTGATCCAATATGTCCCCTCATGTAGAAATTGTAATATAATATTGATCCTAATTTAATCCCTGAGATATGATTATGAATGAATTATGTATATGTTCCCACTTAATCTTTAGATATGATTATGAATCAATTTTGTATAGTTGATGGACAAAAATGGAGAAATATGAGATTATGGGACTAAATTGCTTGTTTGCTTGCCACATGTGCGGGCATGCAAACTTGGACTGGCCTCTACACCAACTTGACAAAAGATATATATATATATATAATAGTAATAGAAACCTTGAGGAGGAAGAGGAAGTATATCCAAAGATTCAACTTGAATTTAAACAATTAATAAAACACTACTGAGGTATGCAAATTCAAAGAAGTTATATTGCCTCAAATAATTCCCTTGTGCATGATTTGGCAAATTCTTTAATATGTTAAGTATGGCACACAGTACTGAGCTAATCAAATCTCTTCATAAAACGCTCAACTAAGAAAAAAAAATTCTAATTATTTATGTAAATGATAGGTAGAACCTATCTTTTCTAACACCTATTAAGAAAAACCTATCTAAATGCTCCAAGAAAATAGCTACAAAAATAAAAGAAAACTTATAATTAAGTATAGCAAAACAGCATGCACATGTAATAACTATTCAAAAAAAATGTCACAGTCCAGAAACTTAAAGCCTTTTTATTTGGAAATAAAAAAATTAAACTTGTAACTTACAAACTAAAAGAGGAACTGCTAATGCAATCTTGCCAACATCTTCATCTGCTTGCATTATCTTCTTTATTCGCGACTGAGCATGAAAAAAAAAACAATAATCAGTATTAAAATCATTGCCCAATAATCCCAGAGCACATCAACAAAAAATAATAATCTACAAAGCAGACACAAAACATGAAAATATGTAAAGTATTAGAGCTTGTTTGGGATCACTTTTATTTATTTTTTGTTTGTTTTTTTAATATTTTAAAAACATTTTTGCTTAGTATTTTTTTGCATTTTTTTATTTTTTGTTTTAAAAAATAAATTAGCTTGCTTTTAAAAACACTCGAAACATATAAAAATTGTTTCAACTGTTCTTAAAAATAACTAAACATTTATAACATATCAAACATTTTTTATTTCAATTAAAAGTATATAAAGACCAAAATAAAAACAAAAAAATAAAATATAAAAATCAGAAGTGATCCCAAAGAACCCCTAAAATGGTACAAAACCCCCATCTAATCAAGCACAGATCACGCACAGTTCGCATCTCAAGGAAAATCAAGTACCTAATTCTTCTCCCATATTGCTTAAATAGATAAAAATAAACTTAGAACTACTCCAAAACTCTTTTACGAGATCCGGCTCACAGCATTGAATGCAATAAAAAGAAAGAAAATAAATAATTACCTACACAGTGCTCGTGCCACAAAACATTTATCTAGCAAGAATTTTTTTCATGCAGTGCATATCAATATTCAAACATGTATGTTTAAACATTTTTTATGATATACATAAATCCATGAAGATTTAAGTTGAATAAATTGGTTTGCAAACAAGGAGAAAGATGCCATTAATAGGCACTGAGAAAGAATTAGAGAACAAAAAGTGAATAAAGGCATAAGTTGTTGTAAAAACAAAGTTCAATGCCATATAGTCTATAACTAATGCCACATGAGAATCATCAAACTTGTGTACGTAAAATCATAAGCAACACTGCACCCTTAGATGATTATGGGACAATTTAAGTTACACTTTTTCTTTATGTTTTACTATTCAAACAGCAGCCACAATTCTGCCTGGCTATAACTCATGCTTTACAAAAGCTTTTATGATGAGAAGTAACTTTTTAAACCAGATCTATTAAACTACAACAGTTGTAAGAAAAAATTGTTGTTTTATTGTTTCAAGAGGAAAATAATCTATAATACCCATAAAAACCTTCAATAAAAAATTTTAACACACAATTCTACATTACTTTTACAAACAACCACAACTGCCTCAAACATACCCTAAAAATATGTATTTGATAATAAGATCAATATACATTTGAAAGAAAACACCACAAGAGGCAATACAATTAAGGATGGCAATGTTTTAAACTTAAGTTCGCCTGTTCTGTAACCAACAACTCCATTTTTAAAAAAGTAGCAAACAAAACACAAGAGAAACAATCATCCTCTCAAAATCTCGTCAACAAGGAGCACAAAGATATTCAGGCCTTTATAAACACTAAATAATCTTAAGGGGCTATTTGGTTGTAAGTAGGATTTAACTCAAGTTGGAATGGTAATTCATGTAAATTTGGTTTTAATAAATATTGAAAACTGCTTAGTATGATAAAGGTTAAATCTGGCTACATCATAATAGAATATTTGACAACTTAATTCAGAATTTAGATATGTTAGTTCAAATAAAATTTTAATATCAATTATTGATGATATAAACAATAAGACTAATTTAGATTGATTTAATTTATATTATTTTTAATTACATAAATCAATAATTAATAAGTTACTAAGCTATGTAATCATTAAAAAAAATTATTAAACTAATTAATTATTAATTATTACTTTAATATTAATTAAATACCATAAAACAAAATTTCAATTAATTATTAATTAGTAATTAATTAAGCCAATTAAAGAAAAAATTCTATTTATTTAATTAAAATTTAATAATATTAATTTAATTAAGTTAATATTTTTTAACTTTCCAATATTAATTTTTAATAGTGATTAAATTTTTATAAATTCTAATTAAACTAATTAAATTACAATTAAAATAATAATACATTTTAATTAATTATTAATTAGGAATCTATAAATCGAATTACATACAAAAATTTATAATTACTCAAATTAAATAATAAATAATACTAATTTGCTTAACTACATTTTTAATTAATTAATTAATTAATTAAATTCTAATTTAGCAAAACGTAGTAATTAAAACATGTTTCTTTCTCTCCCTTCCTTCCTCTCCTATTCAAATCCCTTCATAAAAAGAGAAGCAAAAAAGTCATAGCAAGAGCTTATAGGGTGCATCAACTGTATCTAAAACTCTCATCTTTGCACCTCTTGGAATCCTCTAAAAAAAATAATCAAGCAATAGGTGCTTGGTGGCAAAGGCATCAAAAGGTACGTTTTTCTTTATCTTTCTCAACCTTCCACATATTTATATTTGTTAAATCCCTTAAATCTGCCAAACTCTTTGATTTAGTAAATCTGGAATTTGTCAAAATGTTAGTAAAGTAATATTCAAAAATTTGTAGGACTAAAATATCCATTTCCACCTTTTGACAGAATTTAAGCTAATTTTCGCATAAATTTTGATTAAATTTGACTAACTAACAACCCCTATGACAACTTATAAGATTTAACTCAAGTAGCAATTGATAAATCTTGTAAATCAGGATTTGATGTAGTTAAATCTCCAAAAATGATTTGATATAACAGATGTTATATCCAGTTCAATCATGTTAAGTTGTTTGGAACTTGCTTTAGGATCTTTGCTTACTAGTTCAAATATAATTCAAATATTAAATATTGATAATGCAATTATTAAGACTAATTTAATTTACTTTTTCCATTTAAATTATACTAATTAATTATTTGTATTTTATTAATTAAATTAATAATGTAGTACAATTCCCCTAAATTAATCAATCATTAATTAGCATAACATAATATCTCAATAAATTGCTAATTAATAATTTACCATTCCTAATTAGCATAATATAATGTTTCAATAATCAATTAGTAATTAATTAAGTAATTAAATAACAAATTGCATAGAGTCAATTTAAATAAAAACAATATTAATTTTAATTAAGCTAATATTTTTAATCTCCTGGTACTAATCAATATTTAATTTTGTATAAATTTAATAAAATCAATCAAATTGTAATTAACGTAATTAAATAATAATTTAGTTAATTCTTCATTAAGAATTTATAAATCTTAAACTTCCCTCCGCCTTCTATAATATCCAACACTTTCGTCTTCCTCCCTTCCACAATCTATCTGAAACCCTCATCTTCCTCCACCTCATCAACGGGATCCGGAAGTATGAAGCCATCGTCTTCCTCCCATTCTGCTCCTGTCTAAGACCCGAAGGAAAAGATGCGAATAAGCCACGGAGGCAGGCGAAGTCGTCATCTACGGGTATTTCCACATCTTTCTCGACCCTTTGTGCGTTTCCTTCCGCTAAAATCAGAGATTTAGCCAGAAACGGAAGTGAAATAGGATTTAAGATTTCGTTGGATAATGTCCATTTCAACCAGGCACCAGAATTGTCGATAAATCATGTATAAATCCTGACTAATCCAGCAATCGAACAGCTCAGCTTGCAGATATGCATAAAGTACATGTCCAAATAAGCACGAACAATTACTCCAAACCCGACTTCACCAAACTTGTATTCATTTGATAAGCATGCCAGAGTTCATACCAATAAAATCTAAGGAGAAAAATATCGATTGAACAAACTGATTCATCCAGCTCAAAACTTATTGGGACATTGAAATCGTGTAAATAATAGAAGTACAACCGGTTAATGAAATCGGTGTTGAGCTTAGATTGAAACGGAGCTCGATGTACCGGATTTCTAACCTAAAAAAACGATGCAATTCAAAAGACCGGAACCAAGGCATCAAAAACACATGTACGCTATCGAATTAAGAAGCGGAGGGATCACCGCGGGGAAGTCAATTCCAGAACCATAGACCATCCAATCCGAGCCCTTAAAGCCCACAACGTAATAGAGATTCGACATACATCCGCATATTTCTATTCAACAACACAAAATATCAGAGTAAATCCCCAAGATGCCTCGCTCCCTAATCGATCTCGCAGAAATCACAAATCAAAGAGCAAACAAAGATCAGGAAAACGACATACCGCCGGAAATCGAGTGCCGAGTTTCTTCCTCATCTCCACCGACGACCCCTTTCCCTCCGGTGGTCCGCCGCTCAATCCCCGATCTCTGTCGCCTCGCCGGCGGTGGCTTCGATCCGATCAAATTAGAATTCAAACGCGAATCTCAGAAGACGGAAACGGAATCGGTCAATGCTTCGTCTTTCCCAAAATCCTTCCGTCTTCTTTCTCTTTTTCTTTCTTTTTTTTTTTTTTTTTGGCAAATTGTTGCGTCTCTATTTTTTGTAAGATGACACGTGTGCTTCATCAGTTATTATAGCCGTCCGTTCAAGCGAATCGAATCTTATCATAAACCGATTTTTGTTTCTTGTTTAGACCCAAATTTAACCACAAATTCGGACCGCAAAACAAGGCGTCGGTTGCTCCCAACATCTTCTAAACCGCAAGCCGTTTTTGGTAGAGCTGACTGCCAACCATTTCTTTTTTAGAACACTAGAAATATTATTATTTGCAAATTAAATTACTAGGTGATTTGCTAAAAATAAAAATAGCCAAAAAAGCTAAAAAAATAAATCTAAAAATAAGAAAAAAAAATCAAAGAAAACCTCAGAAAATGGTTTAACCCCTGAGCAAAATTAAGGAAACAAAAAGGTCAAAGCACCCAAAATGGGAATAATAAATAAATAATATATTTATAATAAACCAATAGAGGTAAGGAAATCTAAGCGCACGATTTACAGAATGATTGCATGCATGTAATATGTACGTATCATTTTAAATTTCATGAATTTATTTTTCTTTTTGGGTTTTCATATAAATTTACATTCTCCTAATAAACGTATTTTATTTATATGCATAGTGAATGTTTATGTAGAAGTAAGGCATTAGTTTTTTTATTATATGCACGTGCGCTTTTATCCACGACATAGTGGTTCAGTGCTGATGCATCTTCGATAAATTTTTATCATCTTACATGAATTCAAGACATTTTTTAGAAAAAAAATTTATCATATTTAAATTTAAAATCAACCAGAGCTTTGAATTCAGCAAGGTCTGACTTCATAGTCAAACCGATCGTCTCAAGTTCACGACCAAAATCAGTTCAATTTGAATCCAAGCAATCCTGGATCAAACAATTAAAACATTTTTAGAGATTTTGGATTGTCAAACATATGATCAAATGAATACCAAATTTAACATATTTATATTCAAATTGGGTGTCTCAGGCTCCGATCAATGGAGATCAATATGAGTCGTCTGATCACGTGTTTGAGGAAAGTTCTTCACCAAAGGACAAAAATGTGCCTTCCCTAGAGGTTATAAAAGGACCCTTTCTCTTTACTTGAGAGGGAGGAGGAAAGAATGACATCTTAGTTATGTTCTGGATAAAAAGGTAAAATACATATTTATGTCTATGCATTTGCATTCATATCACCCAATATCTATGTATTTAAATGTCCAACACCTATATTCTGATTTTATATTAATACCACGGAAATAGTTCATATCACATAAAAAATAACATTATTTTAATTTTGAAAAGGTAAAATACATATTTTCTTAGACAAACAAGGTGGCACATACGTAAAAAATTGAAGTTTAGATGTTAGATATGTAATTACATAGAAATTTAGTGGTATGTATGTAAATCTTCCATATTTTAATATGTATGGTGATACTATGAATGCCCCCAGATAGCTCTCGTTCCTAAAATTATAAATGCTGAATAGAGTACTCATTCATATTAATGAATGGGGCATTTACATACATACAACATAGTTCTCATATGTTTACATGTCTAAAACCTAAGCTTTCATATTTATATGCACATATATCACTTAATTTTTTTATTATTAGGTTAACAATATCAATGTTAGTGACATTCTAAAAATGTGTTGAATCTTGATTTGTCCGTGAATCACACCCAAGTAATAGAGTGCAAGTAAAAGAGATGGAGAGAGCGAAAGAGAAGAAAAGAGAGCGAACATTTTTTTTTTTTTTTGTGATCATTCGTGTGTTATTCATAAAATAATTCTTCTATTTATAGAAGAGATGTTATATGACGATATTAAATTTTTTTCTCTTGCTATAAAAGAGTCAGTATTGGGATAGTTCCTGTATTTTATGTGCATAAACCTGTCATCCGACAGCTTTTTGATTAGGTTGGGTGTCCTTAATTATGTCAACTTTAGGTCAGCATGATCAACTTGGCTAGCTAATTTAGTTTTGTCTACCGAGTTTTGTCAATATAGGTCGGTTGGTTGATATGCCCTAATTATTGATCGTTGAATGCTAATGAGGACTCTCAGGGCGGTCCCAACTAGGATGGGAACAAAATCCTCCCTTGGATCAACCTTCATATACGTTATGATTGGCTCAAATACCTCTTTGTCTCGTTTCTAGCTGAATAACTCATTCTTAATAATATTCTTTGGTTGTCTTTGGTCAATCTCGTTGTTCAGTCGGCTTTGGCCGTGATAACTTGGTTCAGAGAGTTTCACTCAATCAAACAAGAAGACCTCATGATCTTATGTTAGTGGGTCCTCTTTCATCTTAATTTTCCCTTCTGAACTGTTAGATCCCATCGAGATCAGTACTTGCACATTTTTTTTTGTGCAAAATGAAATACATCTTTTCATGCAATGATTAACAACATCAACATAACATAAATGTAAATACCGAACTTTAGGTGTCAGATATGTAAATACATAAGAATTGTGTGGTATGTTTGTAAAATTGCCTAATAAAATTTGATTTTATCTATTTGTGCTTAAATTATACATTTATACCCTTAATTGATATCAAAGCCAATTTTAAGCTAAATTAGATTTTAATAAACTCATTTGATTTCTAACTTCATTAATTTCATTCAGGAGATTAGTCATATTAATGTCTTCGGATAAACATTTTATAAGTCGCTATCGGTCAAAACGGTTAACCCAAATCAATAAATAAATAAAACTTAAAACTTAATTGGCTCATGCAAATAGTTAAAAATAATGACAATGGCCGGTCTTCAGATGTTTTAACCTCTCGTTCAATCTGAGACCCTTCATAATAGTCATTGATAATTCACAAACTTTATAATTTTTTTTTATTAAATTTTGATTATGTGGAAAATCTTATCATAATCTTGAATTCTTATCATAATACGTCTCTATAAAATCATATTGATCCGCACAAATCTCGACACATATTGTGACCAAAAACTTCAAGAATCAAATTTTTGGAAACACCTACACTTATATATATGATCAAGCGTAAGTTTTGAGAGAGATGAATCAGATGACATCAAAAATGATATGACTGGAATCCAAATGAGCTCAGGTCATGCACTTAAAGCATATTTAGAAGCTTTGAAATATACTTTGGGAGGGAAAATGGTACTCAAATCTCACAAGTTTCTAGTCAAATCGAGTGTCTCAACGAACCGAATCCAATCAGCTCAAGATCACTTAATTCTAACATCATGAAGGCACTTAAATGCTCATAAAATATCATCACATTAAAGAGATCACTCTGGGCCGTCCGATGGAGTTATCCAGATTTATCTAATATTTATAGAGCATGTCACTCACAGTATCTATTAGTACACCCTCACTCTCTTCATTATGGGGGGCCTGAATTTAGAGGAGAAATTGAAGGAGCAACAAGCTCTTAAGGATTATTGAGTTCCACTACTATTGGGCTGACATCAACTAGCTGCCGCTACCATTGGACCACTGCCATCATTGCCTAGTCGCTTTCGTCAACCGCCACTGTTCTCAGTCCATCGTTGTTTGAACATTGCCATTGAACAACCATCACCGCCAAACCAGCGTTGTTCGACTATCGTCGTTGAACAACAATCTCGTCGGACCACTGTTGCCCGACAGTTGTCGTATGGTCGTTGTTGTCGAACCACCGCTGCCTAGTGATCATTGTTGAGTAGTTGCCACAACTGGAGCACTGGTGCCATGTAACTGAACCATTGTTGCTCGATAGCTGTCTGGCCACCGTCACTGCTAGACCACTATTGCCTGATCAATGCCATCGAGCCCCTGCCACCGCCAGACCAACGTCTCAGCCACTGAACCACCAACAACTACCAACGGTGCTGGCATCAAACTTTCTAGCACTCGATCTCTGCATTAGTCTGCCATCATAACAGTCGGGTCATTATCATTTCCCCAACACATTCCACCACTCACCTAGCAAAAGTCACGTCGATGACTTTTATTTATGTAGTATTGCTTCCGGCTAGTCAAGGTTAGTAAAGACATGTAACCTGCATCTGAAACTATTTCAATTGAGATTAACCTTGCAGTTTTCGTTTTTATTTTTTCAATGTAAGAAAACGAAACTCATGTTATTCGTTTAGTTTTTGACAGTTTGTTTGCTTCAAAAAACGGACGAGTGAGACATTTTTACGATATATAAGCTATTGCTATTATCGAGGGTTGATTTGTTGGTTTTATAAACTGATGAAAAAATGATCACTTGTTTTTTTCTCAAAAAAAAAACTATGACATTAATTTATTGGTTATGTGTCATTAATTTTTTGTTATCAAAATATCATTCAATTTTCAAATAACTGACAAGTGTTTTTACCTACGAGCTTAAAACTATCAATAAACTGTCAGAAATATCAAAAGCGACGGTTTTTTTTAATTATAACCAACAAAATTAAACCGTCGGAAAGGCCATCATTCATGTAGTATTTAAACAACACCAAGATGTTAATATATTACTTCGCCGTCGTAAATTTTTAGCACGCAACAATAATATTGAGAGTATTAAGAGTATTAAGTGATGATTATGTAGAAGATCATATCAATTTGAAATTAACATTAATCCTAGCCTTAAATCTTATTGTTTTAAGGAAATAACTTCTAAGTATATAATTAATAATTTTATCCTACTTTTTAAGTGAAATTTATACACAATGAAAAAAATAAAATTCAATTTATTTCCTCTGGCTGCTGAGAGAAAATCTCTAAAAAATATAAAATTTCATGCATTTCCTTGTACCTTTAAGGAATTTTTTATTTATTTAACCATTTGAGATGGTACATATTTCTACTCATAAAGGGTCTTTGGAAGCCAATAATAAACAAAAAAAATGTTAGAAACACTATGATTATTAGTCAGAGCCAATCAATGCTATAACTTTGGCCTTGTCCTATCAATCGATTTTTGTCAAAGTTACTTGCAATATGATAAAGAGATCTAGCTTTCATAGAAAAATGTTAAGAGCCAAGCACTTAGCATTTCAATATATTAAAAAACTTAATAGTCCTATTAATAGGCCAATTTTATTTGGCCAAATATATAAGATTAGACTAGAGGCCTAAGTTTATTGAATA